ATACGATTCAGGTGTTTCTCGTTAGGCGACATTTAAGGCTTCGGCTACAATCGCCATCCACTTGCACAAAAACGTCAATACAGTGTGACATCATGCAAAAAGTGTACCTTATCGCGCTGTCCTTCTGTGTGGAATCGAGCCCGGGTCTTCAGCGTGCCAAGCGAACACTTTAACCACTAGGCTATCCCGCTGTCCCTGAAAGATTTGAGGAAATTGTGAAAAGTCTATTATCGACTAAAACACAACACTAATCAGCATTCTAAGATGCTTTGCTAAAAGATCAAATGCACCGACAGTACTTTATCAGGCGATAAGGTACACTTTTTGCATGATGTCACACTGTATTGACGTCACTACGCGATTTTCGTTTGCCCCCTTGTTATCAAAAGTACCCTTGGTAAGCGACGTCACGATGCATGTCAGTTGTCATCGCCACGTACAGCCTCGTACTGTAAACTAGTCCGGAGCACCCTTTTCTTGGTTTGCAGCTGCATACATTTGCACTTTACTCGGCTAACATCTCAAATTGTTTCGGGTGGAAACATTACTTTTATGTTTCCAACAGATAAAATGTCTAAGTTCGACTCACAATTTAACAGCGACAGCGTCACGACAACGTTCGCAATGTTTACATTCCGACAATGCATCGGTGGAATGTCGGATTATTAATTTAGGGACCGTTCATCGGGGTGTGTGTGGGGTGTGTGTGTGGTGTGGGGGTTGAGTGTGATGATGGTATTTCTGGAGAGCATGTACAATGTGAATGCCCCCCCCCCAAAAAAAAAAAAATAAATAAATAAAAAAATAAATAAAAATTAAATAAATAAATAAGAAAATATTTTTAAAGCATAATTTTTAAATATCATCTATGTACAAAATTACTGCCCCCGTCTAGAAACGTGTACAAAATTGTCGACCCCACCTACCTCCCCAGAACAAAATGGGTGTCTCCCCCTTAAAATCACCATCACCCCCCAGCCATAATTGCAGCATTCATTTCCTTCCAAGATAGATGTTCAGATGAAGGCAGTCAAACTGCATCTGTTTATATAGTGCAGGGATGCATAACTATCTCTCACTCAGTCTTTGTATAGCACACGTTTCAAAATATTATTTTTACTGATGAAGATGTTGGTATATACATTACCTAAATAAGGAGTAAGTACACTCTTCACCTGAAGAAGGAGTAAGTATATTCATCACCCGGTGAAGCTGTAATTATATATATCCTTCAACTGATTGAGGAGTATGTGTATTCTTTACCTGATTGAGGAGTATGTGTATTCTTTACCTGATGAGGGAGTGTGTGTATTCTTTACCTGATGAGGGAGTATGTGTATTCTTCACCCGATGAGGGAGTATGTGTATTCTTTACCTGATTGAGGGAGTATGTGTATTCTTTACCTGATGAGGGAGTATGTGTATTCTTTACCTGATAAAGCACTATGTGTATTCTTTACCTGATGAGGGAGCATGTGTATCCTTCACCTGATTGAGGCGTATGAGTAATATTTATCTGATGAGGGAGTATGTGTATTCTTTTGAAGACGAGGGAGTATGTGTATTCTTTACCTGATTGAGGAGTATGTGTTTTCTTTACCTGATGAGGGAGCATGTGTATTCTTCACCCGATGAGAGAGTATGTGTATTCTTTACCTGATGAGGGAGTATGTGTATTCTTTACCTGATGAAGGAGTATGTGTTTTCTTTACCTGATGAAGGAGCATGTGTATTCTTCACCCGATGAGAGAGTATATGTATTCTTTACCTGATGAGGGAGCATGTGTATTCTTTAACTGATGAGGGAGTATGTGTATTCTTCACCTGATGAGGAGTATGTGAAATCTTTACCTGATGAAGGAGTATGTGTACTCTTTACCTGATGAGGGAGTATGTATATTCTTTTGAAGACGAGGGAATATGTGTATTCTTTACCTGATTGAGGAGTATGTGTTTTCTTTACCTGATGAGGGAGCATGTGTATTCTTCACCCGATGAGAGAGTATGTGTATTCTTTACCTGATGAGGGAGTATGTGTATTCTTCACCTGATGAGGAGTATGTGAAATCTTTACCTGATGAAGGAGTATGTGTATTCTTTAACTGATGAGGGAGTATGTGTATTCTTTACCTGATGAGGGAGTATGTGTATTCTTCACCTGATGAGGAGTATGTGAAATCTTTACCTGATGAAGGAGTATGTGTATTCTTTAACTGATGAAGGAGTATGTGTATTCTTCACCTGATGAGGAGTATGTGAAATCTTTACCTGATGAAGGAGTATGTGTTTTCTTCACCTGATGAGGAGTATGTGTATTCTTCACCTGATGAAGGAGTATGTGTTTTCTTTACCTGATGAGGGAGTATGTGTATTCTTTAACTGATGAGGGAGTATGTGAAATCTTTACCTGATGAAGGAGTATGTGTATTCTTTACCCGATGAGGGAGTATGTGTATTCTTCACCTGATGAGGGAGTATGTGTTTTCTTTACCTGATGAGGGAGTATGTGTATTCTTTAACTGATGAGGGAGTATGTGAAATCTTCACCTGATGAAGGAGTATGTGTTTTCTTTACCTGATGAGGGAGTATGTATATTCTTCACCTGATGAGGGAGTATGTATATTCTTCACCTGATGAAGGAGTATGTGTATTCTTTACCTGATGAGGGAGTATGTGTATTCTTTACCTGATGAGGGAGTATGTTTATTCTTTAACTGACGAGGGAGTATGTGTATTCTTTAACTGACGAGGGAGTATGTGTATTCTTTACATGATTGAGGGTGTATGTGTATTCTTCACCTGATGAGGAGTATGTGTATTTTTCACCTGATGAGGGAGTATGTGTATTCTTTACCTGATTGAGGGAGTATGTATATTCTTCACCTGTTGAAGGAGTATATATATTCTTCTCCCGATGAGGGACTATGTATATTCTTCACCCGATGAAGGTGTAATTATATCCTTCATGTGATGAATGAGGAAGTATATTCTTTGCTTGATGAAGAAGTAAGTATATTCACTACCTGATATAGCAGTGAGTATATTCACCACCTGATATAGCAGTGAGTATATTCACCACCTGATATAGCAGTGAGTATATTCACCACCTGATATAGCAGTGAGTATATTCACCACCTGATATAGCAGTGAGTATATTGACTACCTGATGAAGGAGTAAGTATATTCACCACCTGATATAGCAGTGAGTATATTCACTACCTGATGAAGGAGTAAGTATATTCACCACCTGATATAGCAGTGAGTATATTCACCACCTGATGAAGGAGTAAGTATGTTTTTCATCTAATGGAAGAGTAAGACTATTCCCCAAAACGTCTTGTTCCACATATTACAGAAATTGTGTAGATAGAGGACTTGTGTAGGGGATCGTGGGTTTTGGTTAACGTGTCATTCTACATTTTGGATTGTTATGCAAATAGGCATCCGATGTCGACATTATGTCAGGTGGTGTGTGTCCTGAGTAGAAGTGTGAGTTACTACCATTTGTGCGACACATCCGCAAAGTGTCGCAAAGATACCTTTCAGTGGTATATTTATAATATTTTCGTATGCGCAAATGTTTGCAGTATCACAGCGTCAAACGTATAGAGTTTTCATATCAACATTTGTGTTGGAATAGTCTGGTTCTTCCGGAGGGATTTAATAAGTACATATATTGTCCGATCTACAGCAAAGGCAAGTAAGCGGAGTTACAGTGGAAGAACTCAACGAGTAGCTGGGTTATGTCTCGTTTCTTTGAGAGTGAAAAGTATCAACAAAAATACATTTATTGACTGTATAACCTACTAATTACAAAGAGTTGTATAACTCTTGTTGCTTTAGACTTGGCTATAGTGACCTTAACAGACATCTATAACAGACATGCATCTGACCGGACAGTCTACTCCTGCTGATATCACACCGAAAACCCTTTACATTATGTGTTCACGTAGGTCAGGTATACATTGATAGGAAGTATTTTTACTCCCACGACTGAAAACCATTATGAATGGACACGGATATTTAACTCATTCTGGAAGGATGAACATTCTGGAATCACTCCACTATTTCTATCACAAAGTCACGTTTCAAACCATTCAATGACAAAATAATTTGAAGAAGAAAACATATTACCAAGTTATCTGCACGTCAACCTCAATTCCATTAACTCTTCATAAACAATATTGCACAGCAAACTGTACTGTAGCCAAATTACATATGTTTTTCACTTGACAGATTACTGAGGCCACCCAGAAATCCATCGTTCTGTCTGACGTTGACAGCACGAAAACACCCATTCCCTCCACGTCCCACTCTGTCAAGGAAGTCCCATTCATCCGAAAACGACGACGACTGGTCCAGTGCTGGGCTTGACAGTAAAAATGTCTTGCAGTAATATGACGCCCCGCCAATTGTGGGATTACACATGGACATCGGGCATGCAGGTGGTTCTGTGTAGCCAGTTACAAATCGTCTGTCCACTCACTAAGACGCCTCTTCCTAGTCGACCAGATTAACATTTGTCATCAGCATTATTTCTGTGTCGTGATTGCAATCTGATAATTACATACTGTGAAACGAAGAGAGCTGTTAGCCACAACGCTTTGTCTTGATCCAACTTTCTACATGAACGCTGTGTGTAGCAGCTCCTGACAAGACAGATTTTGCCCATCAAAAAACATTTAACTGAGTTTTTGTCAGTTTGTGAATCCTCGTGTGTTTCTAAAGGTCACCTGCTTGTGTAAATTTTCCCCAGATTCAACACATTCATATGACTTGATTCGTGTGTGAATGTTCATGTGTTTCTGTTGATCATTTGATCGTGCAAAAGTCTTCCCACATTCAACACATTGAAAAGGCTTTATTCCTGTGTGAATGCTCATGTGTTTATGCAGGTTACTATAGAGTGTAAATATTTTCTCACACACAATACACTGATAAGTTTTGATTCCACCGTGAATCCTCATGTGTTGCTGGAGGCAACCTGAAATGTTTTTCCCACATTCAAACACATTCATAACGCTTGATTCCAGTGTGAATCATCATGTGTTTCTGGAGATGACCTGATTGTGTAAATGCTTTCCCACATTCAGCACATTCGTAAGCTTTCACTCTGGTGTGAATCCTCATGTGTTTCTGAAGGTCACTCGATTGTGGAAATTCTTTCCCACATTCAACACATTCATGAGGCTTGATTCCATTGTGAATCCTCATGTGTGACTGCAGATGACTTGATTGTGTAAATGCTTTCCCACATTCAGCACAATCGTCAGGTTTTACTCCGGTGTGAACATTCATGTTTTTTAAGGCTACCTGAAAGGAGAAATATTTTCTCACATATCATACACTAATGAGGTTTGATTCCACTGTGTCTTTGAAGGTCACCTGATATTGTAAATGTCTTCCCACATTCAACACATTCATAAGGCTTGATTCCATTGTGAATCTGCATGTGTTTCCGCAGATTACCTGATTGTGTAAATGTTTTACCACATACAATGCACTGATGAGGCTTGATCTCACTGTGAATCATCATGTGATTCTGCAGGCTACCTGATTGTGTAAATGTCTTTCCACATTCAGCACATTCGTAAGGTTTTACTCCTGTGTGAATCCTCATGTGTATCTGCAGGTCACACGATCGTGGAAATTCTTTCCCACATACAACACATTCATAAGGCTTGATTCCTGTGTGAATCCTCATGTGTGTCTGCAGATGACCTGATTGTGCAAATGCTTTCCCACATTCAGCACATTCATAAGGTTTTACTCCTGTGTGAATCCTCATGTGTATCTGCAGCTTACTCGATTGTGGAAATTCTTTCCCACATACAACACATTCATATGGCTTGATTCCTGTGTGAATCCTCATGTGTCCCTGCAGATGACCTGATTGTGCAAATTTTTTCCCACATTCAACACATTCATGAGGCTTGATTCCTGTGTGAGTCCTCATGTGTCTCTGCAGATGACCTGATTCTGAAAATGTTTTTCCACATTCCACACATTCATAAGCCTTGATTCCTGAATGCCTCCTAACGTGGCACTTCAGATAACCTGATTTTGTAAATGTTTTTCCACATTCAACACATTCATGAGGCTTGATTCCACTGTGAATCATCATGTGGGACTGCAGATGACTTGATTGTGTAAATGCTTTCCCACATTCAGCACATTTGTAAGGTTTTACTCCGGTGTGAATCCTCATGTGTTTCTGCAGGTGACTCGGTTGTGGAAATTCTTTCCCGCATACAACACATTCATAAGGCCTGATTCCCGTGTGAATCCTCATGTGTGACTGCATGTCACTCGGTTGTGGAAATTCTTTCCCACATTCAACACTTTCATAAGGCTTGATTCCCGTGTGAATCCTCATGTGTCTCTGCAGACCATTTGATCGTGTATATGTTTTGTTACATTCAACACATTCATAAGGCCTGATTCCCGTGTGAATCCTCATGTGTGACTGCATGTCACTCGGTTGTGGAAATTCTTTCCCACATTCAACAGGCCTGGTTCCCGTGTGCATCCTCATGTGTCTCTGCAAGGAACCTGATTCTCTAAACGTTTTCTCACACACAATGCACCGATAAGGTTTGATTCCACTGTGAATCCTCATGTGTTTCTTACGGCTCCCTGAAAATGAAAATGTTTTCTCACACACCATACACTGATAAGGTTTGATTCCACTGTGAACCCTCATGTGTTTCTGCAGGTCACTTGAGGCTGTAAATGTTTTCTCACACACCAGGCACTGGTGAGGTTTGATTTCACTGTGAATGTTCATGTGTCTCCGCAGACTACATGATTGTGTAAATGTTTTCCCACATTCAACACATTCATAAGGCTTGATTCCTGTGTGAATCCTCATGTGTCCCTGCAGATGACTTGATTGTGCAAATTCTTTCCCACATTCAACACATTCAAAAGGCTTGATTCCTGTGTGAATCCTCATGTGTATCTGCAGATGACTTGAATATGCAAATTTTTTCCCACATTCAACACATTCATGAGGCTTGATTCCTGTGTGAGTCCTCATGTGTTTCTGCAGATAACTTGATCTTGTAAATGTTTTCCCACATTCAACACATTTATAAGGCTTGATTCCTGAATGCATCCTCATGTGTTCCTGCAGGTTACCTGATTTTGTAAATGTTTTACCACATACAACACATTCATGAGACTTGATTCCACTGTGAACCCTCATGTGTTTCTGCAGGTTACTTGAGGCTGTAAATGTTTTCTCACACACTAGGCACTGGTGAGGTTTGATTCCATTGTGAATCTCCATGTGTGTCAGCAGAACCAGGGTTCCAGTAACGGGTCTTTAAACTGTTTCAATTGTTTGAAGGGTTGCATTCATGTATTCTTTCATGGGACAGCATGATTCCAGTGTTCCATTAATGGGTTCTTTCTTAACAGCACCTGTTTCCAAGTTGTCCAGCAAACCCCGTTAACAGATTTCATTTGTTTCAAAGACAGAGAAAGGATTTCTGTGGCTTGCGTTCAACTTCCTTCATTAACGGTGGATGTTATGGTGTTTACTGAAAACATAAGGAACATTGTCACACTCTTATAACAAGTAGGGCAGAGACCATACACAATATGATGGTATGACACGTAGCATTGTAACAAACCTGATACTGCATAAATGTCTTCCCACACATACAACACACTATAAACAACTTTGCGGAGTGATTTTCAAAAACCGGTTTTGAAAATGGCAGTGGTGGGATGTATAATTATCCTCTCTGTTGCCTCACAATGGATTATATTCAGTTGATACTTTTACCATACTTTTACTTATGTTACATATTTAAGGGCTATGGCGAGTACATCATCCCAATCAAAACCAAAAACAATTAGATGTCCTGCAAAGCGACGTATGGGTAATATACACCACTGGGTACAATTTGGTTAAAAGCAATGAGTATATTCGATCATTAATCCATTTAGCCTCAATATTTTCATGTGCACAACCAGTTTAAAAACACGGCATTGAAATAATTCTTCATGTGAGCATAATTAGATCTGCCTTTCATCAATATATTTACATAATACTATTGCATGTACAAAATTAATGCCTTTCCATATATTCATATCATTTAGATTACAGATAGCAGGAGTGACACACCCTATCAATAAACACCCTATCAATAAACACATTTTTCTTTCACATAGATATAAGAATTCAAATGATGCAACAGAGTTGCAGTTTCTTATAGCTAAGGGTATATTATTCTACATCGTAACTGCTGATAAAATAAAATATGATGCTGAGTACCTCAGTCGAAAACATTTCGACAATTTTTCCAGTATGATGCAGCCAACTCCCGTTAGACGAGAAGGTTAAACCCAAATGTTTATGAAAATCAACTTTTCTTTCTTGTGTTTTTATTTGGACTATTCCATTATAATGTGTAGTTAACAGGTAGTAGATAATCTGTTCATTGAACCGTAAATGTTGTTGTTTTAAGGTGTCTGCGAACTGTCTGTTTGCATAATGGGAGGACACCATTCAAATACATGTACCTCTTCATGTGAACATAATCAGATGTAGTCCAGCAAGTGCTAGACAACTTTGCACTATACCAAGGTGTGCTCGATGTAGGCCTTGGCTGGAATACGAGTTTATTCATATGAACTAAATCAGATGTATCTTTGTCCAATTTGATTATATAATAATATTGCATATTCAAAACGAATGCCTTTCCATGTATACATATAGACCTAATTTATGTAATGTACAGGGTAACCTATAATACTTACCGTATATAAATATGTTTACTATTACGACGCATTTTGGCTGTATCCTAATTCCCGCGGTATCAGTTACACTGTGCATATGGTGTTGTTCCGTGCCAGTGCACTGCAACATAAAATTTGACGTGATCCTAGGATTGCGAGAGCTCATGGCGCCGCCATGTTGTGACGTCATAACTAGGCGTTGTGAAGGTTTCGTATCTAGGGTCAGGTCACAATAGAAAATAACGGAGACCGAGGATTCTTCGGAGAATGGTTGAAGAAAAAAAAGATCATTTAATCAGAAATAGATGGTGGCATCTCTGCGGATCAGAAGATAAGATTGAATAACGTGTAACCCGGTATGCCGGAGGCATACTTCTGAACGAAGCGCTCGTAAAATCCTGTTTTTACCACTGTTTTAACTATAATTGTGCTGTTAATTTATCAGTTGTAGAATACAACTCTGGCAGCGTGATTGCGTATTGTAGTTACTGTTAGAAATGGTCTATTGTATAAAAAGTGCTTATCTCTGTTTACATTTCGCCTTTGTACTGACCTCCGTCGGAGGAAACAGTAAAAATGATGCTTTCCGTCACGGAATGTTACACTTGGCGATATTCTCGTGATGTATAACCGCCCGTGTTTGTGTCTATAGTTGTTTTCTTCCTTCTTATTTATAGTAAATATACGGCTGGTACAACGTCGTTGTCAGGAGGAGACTGGGTCAGAGAAGCGCATTCGAACAGAACAACGAGCATGGTTGATAGTGGAGATAGTGAACGGTAGCATATAAATACCCGACGATTACCAACAAATGAGACACAACTCCAAGAGTTAGAGGTTACTGAATGCTCTACCTTCGAATGCTCCATCTTCGAACCCCCCACTGCATTGAAATAATTAAAATATGCCTTTACTAGAGCATTATTATATTCATCTTTGATCATCTTTAAAGACATAATTATTTTGCATATTAAAAAATGGTTCATTTCCATGTAAATAGCATTTAGATAACAGATATCATAGGGAGTAACATACCCTATCATTAAACACCTGGAGCACCTTGATATCCAGTGACAGAACCTTTCCGGGTGAGACAAGTTTTAAACATATGGTTCAACGACATGTATGTGTGTTGTAGTAGAGCGGATGGTGTATGTGTGTGAGCAATTGTTTGATAGGTGACCTACTTAATTTAATGAGTTTGATTAATGAGGTTTTCATTGTGAACACCATACTTCTGTTGCTAAGGATACCTATGAATAACATTTTGATTTGGGCAGAATTTTAACTGCTGAGCTGTTGAAAACGATGAATTTACGATTAACATGTATATTTCATTTGTTATCATTGTTATGAATTTAACCTCTTTTGATCACGTGTCTGTATATTGGTATTTTTTGTTTCAAGGTATTTATCTTTAGGGGATAACTGTACTGTGCTTGACGAGTTGTGGGCGTTTACCGGTGGTTACTAGTATATAGTCGCAAATTTAGTTACGTAGGCGACGCGTAATGAGGTCAAAGTTACTGTGGATCAAAGGTTAATAATATCCCTTCTTGAACTTGACTAAATCTGACAATAATGAGTGAATCACTGTTATAGCTAAAATAGAGACGGATTTTATTACGAAACCGCCCTCTAGTTATCAGAAATGAACGGGTCGCTGGATGTATAATAATTAGATTTATGACACTGTTTTGTCTCTTTTAACACAAATTCCATCCATTTTAGCTTTAATAGGGGTATTAATTAAGGAGCTAGGATTTCTGCAAATGATAATAATGTAATAATTATAAGACCGTGTAATGAATTTATACAAAATTTGAAATTTGAAAATATACAACGTTAACACAATCTCTAGCTCAAGAAATCTAAAACAATAATCATAAGCCACAGAACACAGTGCAAAAGAAGTTACGTTTGATTTCAAGGAAAGATAGCTGTGAAAATTATGTGAATGAATCACGGAAAATCAGTGATGACATCAGGTGTCACATTCAACGTATATGACAACTGATGTTTGAAGCCCGGCAGAAACATGTGTCACCTTAAAGAGAACAATGAGTTAAGGAGAAGTTGTAACTTCAGAATGCGTTTCCTTCCAAGGTATTTGTTTAGATGTAGACTGTTGAACTGCATCTATTTATACACACAGCTATCTCTCATTGAGCCTTTGTATAGCATTTCCAAGTGATACACATTAAGGGGTACATCTACGGAACACGACATTTCAGAGTATTTTCTTATTGATGAAGCAGTATATATTCTTTACCTGATGAAGGAGTAGCATACTCTGTACCTGGTGAAGGAGTAAGTACACTCTTCACCGGATGAGGTAGTATGTATATACTTCGCCTGACGAAGGAGTAAGTATTTTCGTCACTTGTTAAAGAAGTAAACATATACTTCAGCTGATAACGGAGTAAGTATATTCATCTCCCAATGAAAGTGTAATTATACATATTCTTCACCTGATGTAGGCATGAGTATATACATCATATACATTCTTCACCTGATGTAGGCGTAAGTATACACATCATATACATTCTTCACCTGAGGTAGGCAAAAGTATATACATCATATACATTCTTCACTCGATGTAGGCGTAAGTATATACATCATATACATTCTTCACCCGTTGTAGGCGTAAGTATATACATCATATACATTCTTCACTCGATGTAGGCGTAAGTATATACATCATATACATTCTTCACCCGATGTAGGCGTAAGTATATACATCATATACATTCTTCACCTGATGTAGGCGTAGGTATATACATCATATACATTCTTCACCTGATGTAGGCGTAAGTATATACATCATATACATTCTTCACCTGATGTAGGCGTAAGTATATACATCATATACATTCTTCACCTGATGTAGGCGTAAGTATATACATCATATACATTCTTCACCTGATGTAGGCATAAGTATATACATCATATACATTCTTCAACCGATGTAGGCGTAAGTATATACATCATATACATTCTTCACCTGATGTAGGCGTAAGTATATACATCATATACATTCTTCACCTGATGTAGGCGTGAGTATATACATCATATACATTCTTCAACCGATGTAGGCGTAATTATATACATCATATACATTCTTCACCTGATGTAGGCATAAGCATCAAGTATATACATCATATACATTCTTCACCTGATGTAGGCATAAGTATATACATCATATACATTCTTCACCTGATGTAGGCGTAAGTATATACATCATATACATTCTTCACCTGATGTAGGCATAAGTATATACATCATATACATTCTTCACCTGATGTAGGCGTAAGTATATACATCATATACATTCTTCACCTGATGTAGGCATAAGTATATACATCATATACATTCTTCACCTGATGTAGGCGTAAGTATATACATCATATACATTCTTCACCTGATGTAGGCGTAAGTATATACATCATATACATTCTTCACCTGATGTAGGTATAGTCATATACATTCTTCACCTGATATATACATCATATACATTCTTCACCTGATGTAGGCGTAAGTATATACATCATATACATTCTTCACCTGATGTAGGCATAAGTATATACATCATATACATTCTTCACCTGATGTAGGCATAAGTATATACATCATATACATTCTTCACCCGATGAAGCAGTAGGTGTACGCTTCTCTTGATGAAAGTTTTGATGTACTTTTCACCTAATCAGGGTGTAAGTATATTCTACACATGAAGTAGGAGAACGCATAAACTGTACCTGATGAATCAGTATGTATATTCTACACCTGATGAAGGAGTATGTTTATTCTACACCTGATGAAGGAGTATGTTTATTCTACACCTGACGAAGGAGTATGTTTATTCTACATCTGATGAAGGAGTATGTTTATTCTACACCTGATGAAGGAGTATGTTTATTCTACACCTGATGAAGGAGTATGTTTATTCTACATCTGATGAAGGAGTATGTATATTCTACACCTGATGAAGGAGTATGTATATTCTAACCTGATGAAGGAGTATGTTTATTCTACACCAGATGAAGGAGTATGTATATTCTACGGCCGACGAAGGAGTATGTTTATTCTACATCTGATGAAGGAGTATGCATATTCTAACCCGATGAAGGAGTATGTTTATTCTACACCTGATGAAGGAGTTTGTATATTCTAACCTGATGAAGGAGTATGTTTATTCTACACCTGATGAAGCGGTATGTATATTCTACACCTGATGAAGGAGTGTGTTTTGTTCTACACCTAATGAAGGAGTATGTATATTCTACGCCCAACGAAGGAGTATGTTTATTCTACATCTGATGAAGGAGTATGTATATTCTACACCTGATGAAGGAGTATGTTTATTCTACACCTGATGAAAGAGTATGTATATTCTATATTTGACGAAGGAGTATGTATATTCTATACCCGATGAAGGAGTATGTATATTCTAACCTGGTGAAGGAGTATGTTTATTCTACACCTGATGAAGGAGTATGTATATTCTACACCTGATGAAGGATTATGTTTATTCTACACCTGATGAAGGAGTATGTTTATTCTACACCTGATGAAGGAGTATGTAGATTCTACGCTCGACGAAGGAGTATGTTTATTCTACATCTGATGAAGGAGTATGTATATTCTAACCTGATGAATGAGTATGTAGATTCTACACCTGTTGAAACAGTGAGTAAATCCGTCACTTGATGAAGGGATTTGTTTATTCTACACCTGATGAAGGAGTATGTATATTCTACATCTGATGAAGGAGTATGTATATTCTACACCTGATGAAGGAGTATGTTTATTCTACACCTGATGAAGGAGGAGTACGCTCGACTATGTTTATTCTACACCTGATGAAGGAGTATGTATATTCTACGCTCGACGAAGGGGTATGTTTATTCTACATCTGATGAAGGAGTATGTATATTCTACACCTGATGAAGGAGTATGTATATTCTAACCTGATGAAGGAGTATGTTTATTCTACACCTGATGAAGGAGTATGTTTATTCTACACCTGATGAAGTAGTATGTATATTCTACACCTGATGGAGGAGTATGTATATTCTACACCTGATGGAGGAGTATGTATATTCTACACCTGATGACGAAGTATGTATATATGTCACTTAATAAAGAAGTAAAATATTCTTGAAAGAAAGAAGGAGTATCTATATTCATCACCCAATGAAGCTGTAATTATACATATTCTTCACATGATGAAGGAGTGAGTATATTCTTCACGTGATGAAGAAAGTATCCTCATCAACCGATGAAGGTGTAATTACAGTATACCCTGGTTGACCGTTTGTCCAGGTGAAATATGGTATTATATCCAGGGTAGAGTTATAGCTAGATAGGATAGTTAGCGGCCCTATGTAATCAACAAGGTGATTGAGCTGATGTCTCCTGTAATGAGCCTTGAAAGGCTAGATAATCCCAGCGTCTAGGGGCTCAAGTATATTCATCATCCGTTGAATGTGTAAGTATATTCTCAACCCGAAGAAGGAGTAAGTATATTCTCCACACGATGAAGGAGTAAGTATATTTTTCGTGTGGTGAAAGAGTAAGTATATTATACACCTGATAAAGGAGTACTTGATTAAGGAGTAAATATATTTTCCACCTGATGAAGGAGTAAGTATATTCTCAACCAAAAATGTAATTACACATATTTTTCAACTGATAAAGGTAGAAGTATATTCCTTCGGTGGTGAATGTGTAAGTCTATTCTTCACCTCATGAAGGAGAAATTATATTCATCAGCCAATAAAGGTGTAATTATATATATTCTTCACCTGCTCAAGCAGTTTGTGTACTCTTCACCTAATGAATTAATAAGTAAACTTTTCATCTGAAGGAGTAAGGATACTCTTCAATGGCTGAAGGTGTTCTTACATTCTACACTTGATGGAGTAAGCATATTCTTTACCCGATGAAGGAGTATACATACTCTACACCTGATGAAGGAGTAAGTATAATCTTAACCGGATGAAGGAGTGTGTAATTCTACACCTTATGGAAGAGTCAGTATATTCTTTACCTGATGAAGGAATATGGATATTTTTCACCTGAGGAGGGAGTATGCATATTCTTCACCTGATCAAGGGGTATGCATATTCTTCACCTGATGAAGGACTATGTATGTTCTTTACCCGATGGAGTAATTATATTCTTTACCCGATGAAGGTATAATGATATCCTTCACATGACGAATGAGGAAGTACATTCTTTGCCTGATGAAGAAGTAAGTATATTCACCACCTGATATAGCAGTGAGTATATTCACCACTTGATGAAGGAGTAAGTATATTCTTCATCTAATGGAGGAGTAAGACTATTCCCCGAAACATTTTGCCCCACATATTACAGAAATTGACCGCGGACGTGTGTAGGGGATCGTGGGTTTTGGTCAGTGTGTCATTCTACATTTTGGATTATCATGTCTCTTTTCTTTGAGAGTGAAAAGTATGAATAAACAGTATATTTATTGAATGTTTTACCTAACAGATACAAAGATTCCTATAACTCTCTGAATTTAAAAACGTTGATAAGAAATCATACACTGTTGCTTCAAGCTCGGTTATAGTGACCTTGACCTTGACATGTATAACAGACATATAACGGGCCGGCCAGTCTGTTCCTGTTGACATCACAACGAAAACACATCACACTATTTCTTCACGTATGTGAGGTATACAGTGATAGGAAGTAACGCGGATTTTTACTGCCATGATTGAAAACCATTATGAATGGACACATATATTTGACTACTTCTGGAAGGATGAACATTCTGGAGTCACGCCACTATTTCTATCACAAAGTCACGTTTCAAACCATTCAATGACAAAATAATTTGAAGAAGAAAACATATTACCAAGTTATCTGTACGTCAACCTCAATTCCATTAACTCTTCATACACAATATTGCACAGCAAACTGTACTGTAGCCAAATTACATATGTTAATCACTTGACAGCATGAAAACACCCATTCCCTCCACGTCCCATTCTGTCAAGGAAGTCTTAATTATAATTTAAATTTGATTCTTCCGAAAACAACGACGACTGGTCCAGTGCTGGACTTGACAATAAATATGTCTTGCAGTAATATGACGCCCCGCCGATCGTGGGATCACATGTGGACATCGGGCATGCAGGTGGTTCTGTAGAGCCAATTACAAATCGTCTGTCCACTCACTAAGACGCCTCTTCCTAGTCGACCAGATTAACATTTGTCATCATCACCTCACCTCACTAAATAAATATATTGTCTTCTATATATATCACTCTGTTTTAATTGGTTTGTTAATTTCGAGAACACAGGGCGTGAAGTCACTCATGTAGAACATCATCTCCCTTTCCCCGGACTGTCGACAAGTAATTTGAACGGATTTTATGTTGTTGTCGACAGTCCGGGTATAAACCTTAACGACGGCTGGTCCAGTATTGCCTCTCCTGACACTAATTAAATATGTCTAATATGACGGTCCGCCAATCGTGGGATCACACGTGGACATGCAGATGGTTCTGTGCAGCCAATTACAAATCGTCTGTCCACTCACTGACACGGCTGTGCTCTACTGGTCGCCCTTAATCGACCAACATTTGTCATCAGCCTTATTTCTCCATCGTGATTGCAGTCTGATAATTCCTTATAGTGAACGAATGAGTGAATGAATGTTTATTCCGTAAACATGCCACAGACCCAGTATACAATTACACCATCATCAATTCACATCGCAAAACAGAGGTAGCGTCATAGTAGGTACACATTTATACATTGTCACGACACTGGAGGAAGTTACTGCGCTTCTTAAAAGCAAGGAAAATATACTTGGCTAAACAGGTGAGCATTTTAAGAAAAAACCTCAATTGGTATTCCTGTAAATCCAGGTGCCTTACCTTAATGCATACTGGAAACATCTAGGATTTCTTTACAAGATATATCTCTGTCAAGGTCACGTTCAATATTAACAGATTCATTCATTACTTCATTATCGATGGAGTTCACAAAATGATGTATTGATTGATAAAAGTCAGCTTCATTAACTGATATATTGTTCCACTGAATAAATTCTTAAAATCAACAGTCCAGTCTGTGGCACTAATGCTGTTTACACCTCTAGACGGTGTTGATTTCACCAAAACAGTTTACTGTTATCAAAAGTGCTTGTTCAAGATTATTAGTGAATGTGATAAATGCCTGTGATAATTTGTAAAAAGTTGTTTATAGCGGTGTCTTGCCTCAATATAGATCAATCTAGCGACAAGGTCATTTGTTGCATGAAACGCACAAAGTAGACGGCGCGAGCCAACCTGTCTGGCCGTCTTGCATTCCGTATCGAACCAGTTATCCCCCTTTGCACGATAACATTTTAAATTGAAGTGTTTTTAAAGCATGTAGCGCAACACTGAATAAGTTTAAAAATGCAATCACTGGCGGAACTTGCTTGTCTGTTGGAAACCAGTGAATTAAAGTTTTCTGTATAATCCGGTGGTATGGAATTCCATGAATCAACATACTGTTCTCGCTTTTTCCTCTGCCCAGAAATATTTAGGTCTTGTTATCAAATCATCATCGTAAAGCACTTTTAAAAACACAAAACATAATCTACAACACTTTGTCCATCGTTAGCAAAACATGTTTCTTTTCCAACAAGTTTATCATCGAACAGTCTCCCATTACATATTCTAAGCCCTGTTGATTTACAACAGTCAAGTAGGCTGTAACCTCGTTCATCAACCTCATTCACAGTCTTGTGATCGTCTTTGAGGAGGACTGTCTTGTCCATACTTTATGTCATCCTCTATTGGTAAATATGTGACGTCATCGTCTATGATGTAATCAAGCTGAGAACCATATCCAGCTCTTCCGTTAAAATCGCCTTGAACTATCACATCACAGTTAGGCGTTTAGATTTTATATGTATAATGTCAGCTTCAAGTATATCCAAAACCGCTTCATCAGAGTGTTCACTCGACCTCCTCAGAGAAAAATATATCCTACAAAGAAACAGGTGAGTATCATCATAACTGGATTTGAAATGAAGCCACAACATATTTTGGGACTGTGTTATATATTGTGAAACACACTGAGATAAGGATTCCTTTACTACAAAATATGCCACCAGAATTCCTGATAGTGCTATTTTTCTTGTGCGTTGTCTGGTGGAATTGTATATACCCCGGAAATAAGAATACATCTCGTTCACTGGCCCATGTTTCCACGAGAGACACAACATCATATTGGTTAATAGTATTCTTGAATGGGATGTTAGTTTCATGGCGTTTTAAGCCTTCAATGTTCCACACCATACATTTCCAGATTTGAGAAAATATGTCTGACTCATTGTTTACTGGGCCGTTTTACTTTGTTGAACTCAGTAGGGTCTTTTAAATCCATGACATTCTCGAGCACGTCGTGAATTTCTTTCTCAGTATCTTCGCTTGTTTCACTGGGTGTATCATTGACATAGAAGGCGATGTATGTTGAGCTGAAACAGTCGATTCGTGACCTGTATACCGCCAAATCACACCCCATCGTCTGTATAAAGTGATGACACAGAATTACGTATATTTGGCAGCGAGCAATCCATTTTTTATAACTTCATTACTCACTTTTTATCAGAGCCGTGACCCACGCCTATCCTCCCTACCCACCAGGTAGAGCCTCCAGCTAGATGATGATAGTTCATGCCATAATGCTTTGTCTTGATCCGACTTCCTATAAGCCAGTTGTGTGTAACCAGTTCCTGATATAACAGATTTCAACTTCTGTCAGTTGATGAATCCTCATGTGTTTCTAACCTGATAGAGTAAATTTCCCCTAGATTCAACACATTCATATGGCTTGATTCCTGTTCAATTTTGTGTGTGTCTCTGCAGACAATTTGATTGTGTAAATGTTTCCCCACATTCATAAGGCTTGATTCCACTGTGAATTTTCATGTGTGTCCGCAGATGACCTGATTGTGCAAATTTTTTCCCACATTCAACACATTCATAAGGCTTGATTCTTGAGTGAGTCCTCATGTGTGACTGCAGATGACCTGATCGTGTAAATGTTTTCCCACATTCAACACATTCAAAAGGCTTGATTCCTGTGTGAATCCTCATGTGTTCCTGCAGGTTACTTGATTGTGAAAATGTTTTCTCACACACAATGCACTGATGAGGCTTGATTCCACTGTGAATTTTCATGTGTGTTTGCAGATGACTTGATTGTGCAAATTTTTCCCACATTCAACACATTCATAAGGCTTGATTTCTGAGTGTATCCTCATGTGTCCCTGTAGATGACCTGATTCTGAAAATGTTTTTCCACATTCCACACATTCATAAGGCTTGATTCCTGTGTGAATCCTCATGTGTATCTGCAAGTAAGTTGATTGGATAAATGTTTTCTCACACACTATGCACTTGATGATGAGTGAATCTCATGTGACTTCCTGATTGTGAGGCTTGATTCCTTGTGAGTCCCTCATGTGTCTCTGCAGATGACCTGATTCTGTAAATGTTTTCCCACATTGAACACATTCATAAGGCTTGATTTCATCCCTGCAGAGGCTGTAAATGTTTTCCCCACATTCAACACCATAAGGCTTGATTCCCGTGTGAATCCTAATGTGTCTCTGCAGATGACCTGATTTTGTAAATGTTTTACCACATACAACACATTGATAAGGCTTGATTCCTGTGTGTATCCTCATGTGTATCTGCAGGTTACCTGATCGTGCAAATGTTTTCCCACATTCAACACATTCATAAGGCTTGATTCCTGTGTGTATCCTCATGTGTCTCTGCAGAGTACCTGATTGTGCAAATGTTTTCCCACATTCAAGACATTCATAAGGCTTGATTCCTGTGTGAATCCTCATGTGTGACTGCAGATGACCTGATTCTGAAAATGTTTTTCCACATTCAACACATTCATAAGGCTTGATTCCTGTGTGAATCCTCATGTGTCTCTGCAGATGACCTGATTCTGTAAATGTTTTCCCACATTCAAGACATTCATAAGGCTTGATTCCACTGTGAATCCTCATGTGTCTCTGCAGATGACCTGATTCTGTAAATGTTTTGCCACATTCAAGACATTCATAAGGCTTGATTCCAGTGTGTATCCTCATGTGTATCTGCAGGTTACCTGATCGTGCAAATGTTTTCCCACATTCAAGACATTCATATGGCTTGAATCCTGTGTGTATCCTCATGTGTCTCTGCAGATTACCTGATCGTGCAAATGTTTTCCCACATTCAAGACATTGATAAGGCTTGATTCCTGTGTGAATCCTCATGTGAATCTGCAAGCAACCTGATTGCATAAATGTTTTCTCACATACAATGCACTGATAAGGCTTGATTCCACTGTGAATCCTCATGTGGTTCTGCAGATGACCTGATTGTGAGAATTTTTTCCGACATTCAGCACACTGATAAGTCTTGATTCCACTTTGACAGAGCATCTGTTTCTTCAAGTCACCTGATTTCGAAAATGTTTTCATGCACTCACTACATGTATGAAGCTGCTTTGTTGGTCCACTATGTTTTTCATGAGTTTCAAAACCACCTATTTCCTGGGTTCCAAAAATAGGTTCTGTCATGATATCACCAGTTTCCAGGGTTCCATCATGGGTTCTTCCTTGAGATCACCTGTTTCCTAGGTGCCAATGGAACATTCCTTCTTGAGATCTTCTGTTTCCGCAAACTCTTTTAACAGATTTAACTTGTTTCAGTGACCGGGAAAAGATTCTGAAGATTGCTTTCAACTTCCACTATTAACCTGTTGATGTTATGGTGTTTACTGAAAACATAAGGAACATTGTCACACTCTTATAACAAGTAGGGTAGGGACCATACACAATATGATGGTATGAGACGTAGCATGATAACAAACCCGATACTGTAAAAATGTCTTCCCACACACATCACATTATAAACAACTTTGTGGAGTAATTTTTCGGTATGCTGTGTGGAAAATGCCAGTGGTGGATGTATCATTATCACCTTTGTTGCCTCACAATGAATTATATTCAGTTAATACTTTTACCATACTTTTAATGTTGTTACATGTTTTGGGTCTATGTAGAGTTCACCATCCCGTCCAAACAAAAAGCAAATAGATGCCCTGCAAAGCAGTGTACAGGTGATATACACCATTGTGTAAAGTGGTTAAAAGCAATGAATATATTCGATAATTATTCCATTATCCCCAATATGTCCATAAGCACACCCAGTTTACAAAACACTGCATTGAAGTAATTCTACATGTGACATAATTAGATCTGCAATTCATCAATATATTTACATGATATTGCATGTACAACATTAATGACATTTGTGTGTGAGGTAAGATAAATAAATAAATAAATAAACATATATATATATATCCTACCTGACACATAAATGTCATTTTCTGATTGGCTGAGCGCTCTTCTATTATTTTCAATGTACCCCGCTTACAAGAGAGTTACATTTCAATGTACCCCGCTGTGAATGGCAACTCATTTGGTACTTCGTGGTAGTAATTCTTGAATAACATTGAATCACGTATGATGTACGGAAATTACCGATGTTTCGCGATAGCAAATCGATGGAAGGGAGATAACGCTAAATCTCCAAGATATTTTTATTTATTAAACTTCTTTTTTATTTCCCTCACGACGTTTCGGGACCATTCAAAGGAATTAAAAGAGAAGTTTAATCCATAAAAATATCTTAGACATCTATGCACAACTTTTAAATGCCACTCGTCATATATATACATATATAATTCAGATGACAGATAGTACAAAGAAGAAACACACACTATCATTAAACAACTGGGGCGCCTTTAGATCCAGCAACAAAACCTTTCGTGGGGAGACAAGTTTTAAACATATGTTTTTCAACGACATGTATGGTTGTCTTTGTAACAAAATGTCAGGGTCATATCGTCATCATCAGGAAATAAATACAAAAAATACACAATATATATTTATGCTTCTTAATGGATATGGAAGGACGTTGTTCTATGAAATTCTCTATCATTCTCTCATTCTGTTTCAGATGCATTATGTTTACGATGATCTCATTCATGGCCATTTAGTTCTGTGACAACAGCGAGGTGCCATGTGACCGCACATGACACTGTTGAATCGCTGGTACACGTATTATTATATTTATAGCGTTAGGGTCCAGTGTAATGCATTGTAATGCATTTCGACCTGAGGGAGTTAGGTACGGGGACCTCATCCAATATGGTAGGTAGGTGTCCGGTGTAATGCATTTGTACCACTCCTCAAAATACTCGTGAAAAATAATATAAACTGACCTGAGATGCGAACAATTAAGGATTGACTGTGTATTTCTTTCGTTGCATTGAGGTATGAAACTAAAAACCAATGTGCAAACTGTGGCGGATTCTTACTAACGTTTGCACATTGGTTTTTAGTTTCATACCTCAATGCAACGAAAGAAATACACAGTGTATCCTTATAATTAAATTCAACAACAAATACTACAGGCTTTCAACAATATTTTATTTAAACACAATCAAATTCATCGAAACAGATATCTTTGTTACCACCGATTGACATTTTCGGTGTAAGAATTCGGTAATGGCGTGACATGACTCAGGTGACTCATTTACATAAAATGACACGCCTACCAAACCATTAGCCAATCAGCATAGAGCACCCCCAAGCAGCTGTCAATCAACCAAGCTAACATCGGGTGGCAAATCAGAGCGGAACAACACAACGTGACGCGTTCCGGTAACGGCAAAGTTTCAAGTTCAAACATTTGAAATATTACCAGCGAACTGAAAGACACAGTTTGAAAAGTGAGAATTGGAAAAGAAGCCCGATGACATGAAGTTAGTGGAACTGAGATTGTTAGTGGCAGCAGTATTTGCGCAAGTGGAAAGGGGCTGTGACTGGATTGCGATGCCATGAACTGATGTTCCAACGCGGCGCATGCTCTTGTCAGAGGCGTTATAATGGCGGAAAGCGCCTCGCTAATTCTTAGTTTTGAGTAGTCGTCGCGGTGGGCGACTATAACTACGCACGGAACTTTCATTCCTATGGCCACTCATAAACATTATGTGACGAAGTTCAAAGCCAGCGTCACTCATGGCTTGAATTGCTGTGGCCCGAAGGCAATGAGCAGTGTATGACTGACTACATTGGGCATTGCGACATATGTCAAACATGAAATGAGTGAACTGGTATTTTCTGACTGGGGTTGCTGTATACCAAATGTTGTGTGCGTCTGGGGAACAAAGTGCATCTTTGTTACAGTGCGAAAAAAGTGATCCGGCATTTGGGTCACTTTTGTCAAGGAGCTGGCGAAGTGCATTCACGGGACATTGGTTTATATCATTCGTCACGTACATTCGTTTGTCGCTTTGCACCTCATCGCTGCTGAGACCACCCTGGATGTTTTTTTTGTTTCATTTCGTGGGACAGTGGGACATATTCAACATTGCTATCATCTACCGCAAATTCATAGGATGTGGGCGTAGATAAGCTGCTGGTGAAATTCAAGACGACTTACAAAATGGATGGCCAAGTCGTACCATACTTTGTACCGGAGGATAACAGGATTGGATGCCGAATGCAGATAAGTGCTAATTTTCATCAGTTCACTTGTTTCAATGGAGCACCTTTAGAATACAGCACCACAACTTCTCGTGAGGGCGATCCCGGCCGTAGGTCACGTCAAGCAACCAGTTTGTTCGAACGCGAACCCGCGACCTTCGGATTGGTAGCTCGACAGCTAACCGACTGAGCTACGTCCACACTGTTGCACAATGTGCAAATTTATCAAGTCATTCCTGTGACGTCACGGAAATGAACGGAAAGAGTCAAATAGGTCACGGACAATTACGTATGCTACGGGTAGACTTGGTGTCACGTGATTTTATTCTACGGACAATTGCCGAATGGATCCGATGCCATTTGGCACACTCGTCCCATTCCGTAATCTACAAATTAACGTGTGGCGTGGAATGAGCCGACATGCCTCAAACTGAAAAGGGTTGTTGACGTCAGGCGTCAGACGTAGATTTCATGGTGCATGCATGAATGACGCGCTTTTATATTAATCGGTGATGTAGGGAAAACTGTAAGGAGAATGTGGATCGCACTAAGGAACGAGGGAGACATACGCCTGTGTAGTGACGGCACGAGGGTGAGTTAGCATTACTTTACAAAATTTCTGTTAATTATTGGGAACATCTTATTTGTCATTAGATAATCTGAATACAGAATTTTGGAATGAGTCTACTCTGCCGACAGTGATTGGAAAGTTTGTGTTAGCTGATAATCGGATTCCAGTATGTTTAGATAATGAATGAGTCTGACTGATAATCGGCTTCGATAGTCAAAACATCTACTGTGCCGAGAGTGATTGGAAAAGCCTGTAAATTTAACGTGAAAACATCACAACCTTTGATGTTTTAAGTACATTTACTCAACTCAAATCGCCCAAACTCAGTGTCAAAATGAAACTGTATTTAAAACGCAAGAATGTACACATTACATATCATTCATCACAATGTCTCACCACTGTGTTGTATGAGATAAGACTGTCAGGAAGAATCAACATGCCGTATCTTGTGACGAGTGTGATTTATGGACTCATCGTGTTTGTGGTACCGGCCTTTCTGTATCACGGTACCATGAGATTTGTCGAAATGAAGAGGATTTCCCTTTCGTATGTGTTCGCTGTCGCAGGAATTCATTTGACAACATGATGGACACAGTGAACTTTCATGTAAGTTTGGAAGCGGACACTACCTTACCAGCTGTCGAACAACCCCCTACCCTAGAAGAAGAAGACGACCACGTGTCCTATCATACTGTGTTTTTTATATGTTGATTCTAATGTTATAATTAAACGAACTAAAACATCATACTGTGTTTTGTATATGGTGCCGTTTTAGCTCAGAAATCAGTAGGCGTTTTCGCCAAACGATTTTGGTGCCGTTCTGCTGTGGTGCCATTTTAGCTATAACCCCGTGTGAAAGAGGCTTGAGTGCTGCAAATTCGAGGCCAATTTCCATTAGCCCAAAATTTCTACATTAACCCATTTCTTAATGTAGTTTCGATGTTTTTGGTTTCCCGTTTTTGTGTGAACAAAAAAAGTATTAAAATGCAAAAAGGTAAAACAACAAATGGTACTCACGTACTGACGTGTCTAGTGTAATGCAGTAGTATATTCAATGATAGTCCTGGACCAAGTCCAACAAAAGCCTCTGCAAAGCCTTATTTCACAAATAAAGCTTTTGTCAGGCCCTTAGATCTTGCTACCATTGTATCTACTACTTTTGAGCCCCCGTTGATTTCCCGACCTATAAAAAGTTGAGACACCAGCGGGATACGAACCCCACATGTATACCTCACAGCCGCACCACTCAACCAACTGAGCTACCGGGGACGTATCTCGGTTTAACGGGTCTATCCTGGGATTGCATCATCCAAAGCTGGGCTGCCTCTATAATAGCTCCACGTGCTGCTATGTCACGTTGACCTCGATGAAACAGTTTAATGTGAATCGCCTGTGATCTCTTTGGTGTTCGTAATAAAGGCTTGCCGGGCTTTTTGTACCCCCTGTTCTATTTACTTTTTTTTCTCGTCCTCGCTGATAACAGACTTACGAGACTTGGATCGAATCTCTTGTTTCATTTTGTTATATTTCGTGAGTTCAGAGAGGATTGAACGAAACTCCTCCTCTGAGATCTTACTGTCAGTGAGTGCCGTGGAAATACGCTCAATTACTGTGTTCAGCTTTGCTTCAGCCAGAACCCTGATCTCTTCGTGT